TGATGACAGTTCAGTGTGTGATGATGAGAACTGAAAGAGATGCTGTTTCATAATTAGTCACGTAGGAAGTGGTATCGTAATAATGGTTGGGGGGGATAAAAGCATCTACTTGCTTAAAGAAGGGAAAAAAATCCAATGAAGATAAATGAAAAGAAAAAAGTAAAGATTAAAACAAGCTGAGAAAATGTTACCCAAAAACAAGAGCTGGTAGACCACCAAAACTGCCCCCTTCAGATAAACAGCATTAAAAGCTTTCATCTTTCAGAGAGACTTGAACACCAAAACTCCACACAAACAGACACACACATAGTTATATGCAGTTTTTGTGGGTACCCCGAATACATTTCTGCACATTTTAAAGCACAATTACTGTTTTTATCTACTGATTTTAATATAGTAGCAAAAAAACATATGTGGATTGTGAAAAAATTATGGCACACTTTATATTTTATATTTTTTTCACAATATGTTGTATAGAAATTGTGCGGGGAAAAAAAACATCATTTGACAAGGGTGCCTAAACCTTTACATGCGACTGTGTGTGCATGCGTGTGTGTGTGTGTGTGTGTTTGTGTATGTGTTGTGTGTGCGTGAGAGTGAGAGAACATTGGTTTTCACAGATGAGAAATTAATGTCTGTCATCTTTTATTGAGAACTTGAGTGTTGACACACACTGACCAACTGCAGTAGAACAAAACATGATGGTCAGGCTAATGTAAATGTTTGTGGCTAGCGTTAGCATTTACCCAACCACAGCCACACAAGAAAGACCAGCTCAAAGAGGACGTGCACAATGCCACACGTAAAGTGCTTACAGAGAGGGGGAGGGGAGAAGAACCTAAAATAGAAGTTATTTTAATGTGTTTAACACTTTTGGTCACTGCATGATCCCATGTGTAATAGTATTGTATTTGATTTTTCATTAGTATCATATGGATAGAAAGGTAAAATAAGGAATATTTTTAGGGAATGTCTTCAAGGAAGCTGGAAGTGTTTAAGCTCTTTAAACGTTTCAGTCAGAATTCAGTCTGGAATTAGAAAGATTGGAATTCCCTGAGGAGTTGAAATGATGAAGTCATTGCAGTCTGCTGTCACAAACAACCCAATTAAGGAGATTTGAAGAGAGCATTAAACAGTATTTTGGCGTATTCTGACTTGCTCTTTCAAAATGAAGCAGCACCAAACTTTGTCTGGGTGGAAGCATTACAGTGAACTGAGAAGATGAACAGATAACAGGGACATTCTAAGGAAGGTCTCAGAGTTCAGTTCACACAGAGAGACACATCTTATCTAAGAAATTAAATGCAGAAAGGGCAGGAATATTCCAAACTGAAACCATGGTACAATAACCATGAAGTAAACTGGACCTGTTCACTGCTTGGGCCTGTTTCATTGATTCTGCCTTTACTGTTTCAGACCTAAAGTCAGTTTTCTTTGTTGAGCTGGTTTAAATATCATGCTTCCTCCAGAGAACAAAAAGCCAAATACATTGTGAATTTTAAATGAATGGAAAGGCTTAAAGTGCTCAATGTGGCATTTGTTTGTGGGAAAGTCCCATCCTTCAATAAAAATCAGCTTGCTGGTAAAGCCGTGAGCAGGAAGTCCCCCTCACTATAGAGATGTAGCCAGAACAACCCTCCAAAAAATTACTGTCAAATCAGACCAAAATCCCATAATTAGTTTGGCTCAAATGATGTACATATACATTAATGTCAATCTGTTATGCAGATTTTGCCATTGAAAAATATATTTTGAAACCATAATGTGTGTTTCAGTTTCAGGTTTGTAGCTCTCTCCCCATTCAAAGAGATAATCTGATCTTGTTTGACTGGAAATAACGGCTTGGGGGCGTTCCTAAGAGTAAACAGACTTTCCCATTAGGACTCTATAAAATGTCCCATTCTACTTAAACACTACTGCAGTGGTGCACAATTGATCAAAATGAGTAGTATCTAAATCAGAACAATGTAAACATTGACTCTGCTTGAGTTTTGATGAACACAGTGCAGCAAGTGATGCTGAACCAGAAACAGAAATAAACACACTGAATGTCTTTACATGTTCAATGAATAGTTCTAATGTTATATCAGTAAACAGTGTAGGGTTAGTTGTTGGCTCCTCAGTATCATGTTTGATCAAAGTTGTTTTTGTACGTTCTTATTTAGACGTCCTCTTTGTTCTTTATTCTCTGAGGTTTATCATCTGCCTGTGAAGTGAATCATGTGGCGGTGAGTAACAGTGTGGATGTCTAGAGGACTGTTAATGGTGAATGTTTTTCCCCTTTTATGAAAGACAGAATGTGAAAATAATGATTCACCATTGTTTACTGCAAAAAAGAAAACAAAACTACTTAAACCTTTTTTTCAAAACGCTTTTATTTCAAACTATACAATTATTATCTTTTTGACCCTTTTACAAAAAACATGCAATAGACAGTTGTAGCATGTGGGGGTGGTTTAGTGAATGTGTGGGTGGTTTAGTGAAATTGTTAGCACACATTAGCATGTTGTTTAGGACTTCCCTTACCCACTAAGTCAATGGACCCTCTGAGAACACGCCACTTTTTGTTAGCGAAGCTGAGAACCTCTATTTGGGTGTTTATTTCTGCTTTTTTCACTTGCTGAGTCCGTTCTTTGTGGTGCATCCCTGAAACTGATGACAGCCAGACCACAAAGTAGAGAAGTATAATATCTGACAGCAGTTTAAAAAAAGGAACTAAACAACAAAACAGCTGAATAAGCATTAATATTTTTTCTGAATTTTGCAGGAGGATTAAATGCAACTGATTACTGCCCTGCAAATAAAACAATGAACAGTTAGTTAACATCACCCTAACTGTGTGTAGTAACGTTCAAAATAAAGTGCAACTAAAATGACTATACATATAAGAACTAATCATAAAAACAGCTAAAATAATAAGTATTTCAGTGGCTACAAAAGAAATAAATAGAAGTATAAAAATGCTACATTTATTTTCACTTTTAAAAGAATTCAGACTTGTTTCATTTACAGAATGATTTTTAGGGAGTAGCTTCATGTAACTGCAGCTCTTGTTTACACACTGAATATATATTTCCTTTTCTTTATTGTTTTTCTAGCTCACTCACCTGTTCATTTCATACGGCAGACGGCTGAACTCACACTGTAGAAAGAACAACAGATACTGAATAAGTGATGATGGATCAATAAACAAACCACACAATGTTCATTTTCCATTATGGTTCTCAGAGCAGCAGATTCATAGATCACAGAAGCATGTGATACTGTATAATGCATGTGATAAAGGCTTCAGTGAAATTCACCAGAGCTGCTCTAGTGTACAGTATATTCTTAGGTTTTACATATATGTATATTTTTCTTCTAGTTCAGTTGTAGGCGTCAACCTAATCACATGATAGCGCAATCAGTCACTGATTATGACTTTAAATTTGAATATTCAAATGAAGAGCTGCAGGTTCTGAGTGGTTCCTACTTTATGCAAAGGAATCATCTTATCTAATGTCCTCAGAATTATTTCCTGAAAAATAATAACTTGTTTTGACTGGAAATTAAATAAATGGTCTTTAACTTTTGGTTAGTACTTTATGTCTGTGGTTTGTGCACTTTAGTCACAATGACAGCAGTCAGCAGCCCCCCAGACTCACACATTAAAACGGAAGTGGTGTGTTTCAGCTTAAAATGAGGCCTCAGTGTATCTAGAACCTTTACACCAGGACAATGAAAGTGAAGTTATAATTTAGTTAAAGTATAGTAGGGTTTAGTGGTATTTTAGATATACATTACAGATGATCTACTCTCATCTCATCTAGGATTGTTTTAATTGTGATTAGTTGAGGGAAACATTTTGTAGATTCCACTTTTTCCGTGTGTATCGGAATATAACTCGTGATAGTGTGGGGAAAAAGAAATAACAGTTAAACAAAGCTTCTCCTTTATATAGAGCTTCCAATGTATTCAGGCAATGCCTTCAGCATGAAATATAATGACTGTCTGAGTTTAGCTGAACTCATACTGAAAACAACCTCAGGGTTGCTCTCTGAACTGCAGCCACAGACACAAGCAGCTGTGCCACTCACAGCCATTTATGCACTATTAAAAAGATGGGGTTTTTTTTTAATAAAGGGAACGGATCTATTTGGAACCATAAATTCTACATCAAACCATTTCATGCTTATATGGTTCTTTTCACGGTGGCATGGTTCTCCAGATTGATGGAGAATTTGAAAAAGGTTCTATATAGCACCAATGGGGGTGGTTCTAGTGTTCCAAGCTTAATCATAACAATAGAAGAACTCTTTTTGGTGCTATATAGGACTGTTTTAAAAAATATTCTATATAGAACCATATACAACACATTTTTAATCAATCTGAAATCTGAAAGAACAATTTAGGCATGAAATGATTCTATATAGAGCTCATGGTTCTAAACAGAAACATTCCCTTTACTAAAGAACCTTTGAAGACCCATCATTTTAGGAGTTTACTCTCCTGGAAGAAGTCCAGCATTTACACTTACCATCCAATACCTGCTTCAGTTGATCAGTCTTTCATTACATTAAATCAGGTGATGGTGGAATTTAATAAATCCATACAATGACTGGAGTTCAGTTAGAAGTCAAAAACTAAACCTGATTCTTCTGTTTTCTTCTAACTTTATTTGTATTTATTATAATGTTATTTACCGTTTTTTACTTTACTTAACTTACTGCAAAGATAGAGAGTTTCACATATCATAAATATAAATATTATAAATATAAAAATATGAACTTGTAATATAAAACAGATAAATTTGATTACAGGAGATAATTTGTAACCCATCACTGTAATCTAGCTGTACTGTCAGTGCTTTTATAAAAGACACAGCTGAAAGTAAATCTACATTTAATATTGGTGGTTTGTTATTAGTTAAAATCTTCACTAACATCGTTTAAAAATCCAGTTGATTTTGGACTGTGAGGCACTCAGCACAAAGCATTTCACGCAATGCATGATGGGCATGCCCAGCCCAGCGCGAGCGCATTAGCTCTGTGCGTTTCTTTTGTTTTCTATGAATCTGAGTAGAAAACTGACGATGGAGTTGAAGAGTTAGTTAATGAAGCTGGTTGATTAGAATGGCTGGTTAAGATGTTCTCAGAATACAGGATTCATCCAGCTCTGCTTCACCTGCTTTACTGTAAGTCTGTTTTCCTCAAACTATTCCAGGAAAACGAGGAGCTCTGAACTTACAGTGCAGTCAGTCCTGACTGAACACTGAGAGATCGTCTTTACTGTTACTGCTCTGTGTTTAATAGAAAACAGTGTCACTGTGAGTGTTGATGTGTTTTATACAGTAGAGCAGAACAGGACAGTCATATCAGTGATCTGTATAAAGTGTGTTGGATGTAGCTTTAAACAGTAGTGAGATCAGTGTGTTTGTCTAGAATGAAGAAAAGATGAAGAATAGAATAGCAAGATCAGGAAGATGAGAGCTGAACTGAAGTGTAGTTACTGAGTCAGTTGAGTCTTTATAGCAGGTTTACTGACTTCAGTTTAAGAGTGAGCTCTGTTACAGTGTCTGGATCTGTAGATTAATTCTCATAAACCACAAGAGAAACTTTGGAATCACAAAATGTAATTTGTTTTTCAAGCTTTTCTGCTATGCACAGTATGTAATAATTAAGTAATGTTTGATGTGACTTTTTAAAAAATAAAAAGTGAAATGTTGAATTTTGTTTTGAATGCTGTTTTAGTATAATGCAGTGAATGTAGTATACATTTTGAACATGAAGTGAATATGTGCACAAAACTGAACAAAAGCTTAAATGCTGGATTTTTTTTCACACAATGGAGCACTTTTAATAATAGATCACAGCAAATAGCCTGGTGTGGCAGTACTAAATGTAGATAAAATTACATTTGGTAATGCATATATAATGCATTTAGGAAAGGCATTATACAGGCATTAGACATTATCTGAGATATTATCTGAGATAGTGGATTCAGAAATGAACTGATATTGATTGTCTTCTGTATGTGAGTGTAAAGACTAACATCTAACATTTTACTTACATCTACTGTATCTACTGTTTCAGGTCTGCTGTGCTCAGCTGGAGAAGAGGTTGTCAGACTGCAGGAGCTGGAGGGAAACACTGTAACCATCCATACTGGATTAACTGGAGTTCAGAGTGATGCTCACATACTGTGGTTCTATAGATCTGAGAATTTAGATACAAAGATAGTGAACAGTCTGGTGTTTAAAGGGGAGACTAATACAGACTATCCCAGTGAGAGATTCAGAGACAGACTGCAGCTGAACAGAAACAGTGGATCTTTAACCATCACAAACATCAGCAGAGAAGATTCTGGAGTTTATAAATTACAAATCATTACTGAACATCAGTCAGTCTGGAGTTTCAGTGTTAATGTTTATGGTGAGTAAATATTACATTTTCCATTTTTATAGTTGCTGAAGAATAAGGCAGAACATGAATAAGCAGAGCTGGGCTCAGACTGAAGACCAACAGTATGAACTACATCAGTCATAAACCAGTTCACTTCTGGCAACAGAGTTTAGTATGATAAAGAAATATTCTACAGAATTTGTTCTGGTTGGTTTAGGGCAGGGATGTCAAACTCAACCAGTACAAGGGCCATATTAAAAACCTTATCAAATCTGTGGGCCAGAGAAAAAAACTATTTTTATTTTATTTTTAATTAATGTTGTGCTGTAACCCAAACTGGCTCTTGTTTATTCAAAAATATGCAAAGACTTCAACAGTTATATTAATAATATTAATAGAAAATTCTTTTGCAGGCCGGATAGGATTGTGTGTCGCGGGCCTGATCTGGGCCGTGGACCTTGTGTTTGACACATGGGGTCTAGGGTGATGAGATTTTGTGCAGAGTTAAATCTTGGATGAATATCTAATGGTACACATTTGAATAATATTTATTCTGGTTGTCCTCTATATTTTAATATTTTTCCCCTATACTTTTTGATTTCCCCTCTATATTATTGGTAGACACTCAAATTGTTTGCAAATTGTCTGGTTAAAATAAATTGATTATCATCAGTGTCAGGTTTAATATTAGGTTTAGGCTTGGTGTTAAAGTTCAGGTTAGGATTAGATTTAAATTTAAGGTTAGATTTACTTGATTCTGTTACATTAACTTAAAGTTCAGTTGCATTTAATAGATATTTAGTTTATGTTGTAACAGTCAGGCTTCCCTTTAACTAACATAAAACTAAGCCTTATGACTGTTATGACTGTATGGCTTAAAATAATGTCAGAGGCTATTAAAATATAATGTATAAACCAAATGGTTTTGTTTATTATCAAAAACAAGATTAATATGCAAAATACCTCTACAAATATTGTTGCACTGTGATGATGTCATGAGGTTGTGCTGTTCTGTGGAAAATACAACAGTTAAAAGTTTCTCTCAGGTAATGTCACACTTTAGCTAAAGTCGGAAAGAAATGATGCATTTGAACGTGTTGTGGGCATCAAATTCAAAATGGGCATATATTTTTCAAAAAACAATAAAATTTCTAAGTTTCAACGTTTGATATGTTGTCTTTGTACTATTTTGAATGAAATATACGGTTTAAATGATTTGCACATCATTGCGTTTTGTTTTTATTTACATTCTGCACAGCATCCCAGCTTTTTTGGAAATGGGGTTGTATATAGGCTCATTTTTGTGTTTTGTTTCCAAATATTTTAAAATAATATAGAAGATCTACCAGTACTATATATCTGTTGCTGTTTCTACATCACCTAACACAGTACAGAGTTTATTATGCTGAAAGATGTGATCTCATACATAAACAGCAGGAGTTGATCAGAGGCAGATCTGTCAGTATAAAATGAGTAGAGATTTAACACACAGCTCAGATGTGCTGTTTATGAGCCACAGTAGATATCAGACGTGCTGAAACCTGTACAGCATAAAATCAGACATGGAATCTTCTTTACAGCAGCCAAACAAGCCAAACAAACAAATGTCAGTGATTTGACATGTTTGAACTGTAATTAATAATATTTTTGCTTATTTGTATTGTTGTTGGTGGTTCTAGTGTTGTAGATAACTTTTTCAATGTCTCTTATCTGTTTTGTTGTTTTTCTTTTGTTTCACAGCTCCAGTATCAAAGCCAGTCATAAGAAATCAGACTGAAAAGCGCTCAGTGAGTCTCAGAGAGTCGTGGTCTCCTCTGTGCTCTGTGGAGAATGGGAAGGATGTGAGTTTGTCCTGGTATGAAGAGAAAGAGAGAATCTCCAGCATCAGTAGCTCAGATTCCAGTGAACGTCTTTATCTTCCTCTGAATATAACCAACCCAGACTGTTCTACTTACACCTGTGTAGCTGCTAATCCAGTTAGCAGTCAGACAACCCAGCTCGACATTACAAACATCTGTTATAAAGCAGGTAGGTAATAAAATCATTATTACTTTGATTTTGTTTGTTGTTAGTTCATCAGTGAAAGGTGAATATTCTAGTCAGAGTTGGTGACACCAAGAAGCAACTAAGAAAATTTCACTAGTTTCTCTGATGCTCTACTGGTGCAGATACAGTGGTAATTACTGAGGGATAACACAGAAATGTTTGTCTTTGCTTTTTTGTAAAGATTATGTAAATGTATTTGTTTACTTATTTGACTCATTTACTGAAGCAGATATTTTTTAACACTCTCAGGTACAAAAGGTCCTAGAGATCTTTCCAAATCACTGGCTGCTGTTCTGACATCTGCTGGACTGATTGTTGCTCTATCAGTTTTATTTGTATGGTTCTGGAAAAAGAAGACAAAGCAACAAGGCAAGAAATACATCTGGTTTTACAGCATCAGTTATCTTTCATTATTTGTTTTTTTGTTTGTTTCCTATTTTGTTTTGTATACTTCCTTTACATATAACACACTTGCACAATATACATACAGTATATACAGTTTTGTCTTTTTTGTCTGTAGTTCCTGAAGATGCTGAGCCGAGTTATGCTGAAGTGAAAACTAAATCTCACAATTCAAAAGAGGCTCTTGAGGTAAGACTACTTCAGATTTAATAGTTAATAATTTTTGAAGTTATTGTGCTGTTATTATATTACACTTTATTATGAGATGTGAACATTTGTTTCAGTCTATTGCACTTCAGTCCTGAACATTAGAATCAGCTGCTGGACTGGAGTGAGAGCAGGTCTCTTTAAATTAGCTGTTTATTACGGAGCTGTTCGAAAAAAAAATGTGCTTCACTAAAATTGTAACTTTACCAGAGAAGACAAGCACATTCTATTGTTAAGTTAATTCAAAGAGATTTTCTTCTAATTTCTGTTAGTCCATTCACCATGAAACTTTCACACAGTGTAAAGGAGAGCCGCCATATTCAAACGATTTTGAAAAATAAAAATCAACAAAATGGAGATCTGCAATTACTATGTGTGTACAAATGTTAGCATAGTTTGTTCTTATCTTCCTCTATACTGTCTTAATATAGTTACATAACTCTGGCTTGAACTCGTTCACCTTATGAACTCTTCATCTTCAGAGGTTTCAAACATGCATCACTATAATAAGTGTTCCAGGGCTTTATTACAGTAACACTTAAATGCCATGGAGTGCTATTTAAGGATGAGCAATATGGCAATTATAGTAGAAGATATTTTCATGAAACAGAGTACATATATCAGTATGTTTATTTGTCTATTTTCTGGGGTTTGTAAACAAGTTGAAATCTTAACATGAATTTCAGAATTTCTTAGTATTTGGTATTTGGTCCCTCTTTTGCCTTAATGACAATGTGAACTTGATCTGCATGAACTACACAAGTTTGTGCAAAAGCCTCTGATCAGTAGGTTAAATGCGCCTGAGAGTCGCCTGAACACAAGAGACAAGATTTATATAAAAGCCTTGAGTTAGCCAAAGATCTGTTTGTCACCGATTTGCTAAAACTTGAGTAGTATTTCTTAAATTAGAAATTGTGCGGAATCTCAAATATTTTTTCTTTATTTTGCATTGCTTTGTTTTAATTTTTTCAAAATTCTAAAACTTTCTCTTGTTTCCAGATGTTCAGTGTGGTCTCAGATGTTTTAACATCACTGCATGTCTGTTTTATCCTCCAGTCCATGTGGTTTCACTGAAATGTTCTGCTGTGTTTTACAGGGAAACAGAGCTGGAGTGACAGAAGTTCAAGACCAGAGTGACTCAGTGGTGTACTCAGCTATCAGGAACTAACTCTGTATTTCAGCATCAGAATATCCTTTTTTAATTATATTTTTACATTTTTTGCCCATTACTGCCTTCTTTTAGTCAGTATTCAACCTGCCTGCTTTTAAAAACATTTCATTCTGAACAACTATAAAATAGTATTTCAGTATTTCATACTGTACTCATTATACATGATATTATTTATTGATTTATTTTAAATAGATGTTATAGTCTGACGTTGTCTGAGCAGTTTAATCATGGTTTTGTTATTTACTATCTTGAACACTGTCTCACAAAGCCGAATTTCTTGATTAACTATCTTTAGCTGCCTGGCTAACTAGCTTGATTATTTTGATAATGTGTTCACGTGCACGTAGGATCAGTTACTAGGTAACAGACATAAGTCTTCTTAACCTGAGATAAGATGCTGTAAGATAAAATTCCCAAATCAAGATAAGATTTACTTCTGTAATACGAATATATGAAAATCTTATTTTGACCTGTCTGATCTTAAATTAAGACAAAAAGATTTCTGTAGTTTCTGAATACGGCATGTGGCATCAGTAATATGAATTTTTTTTTAGCAGAGGAAACAAATCATACTACATAGATATAAAGAACAGAAATTATTACTCCACTAATCACTAACATGGTGGCAGTGGCTGTATCTTTTTACCATGATAAATACTTTACTGTCTACATATTTACGTAGTTTGACTCGTGTTTCACATGATTGGTTGTTCATTATAAATGCCACATTTTATGGGCGTGATGTGCACAAGGATTAATCTTAATCCAAGAGTCTAAAACTTGGTTAACAGAGGAAGTGGTTATGAGTTAATTGTCACTCCGTTTGTTAGATTTTGTGAAGCTGTAAAATCAGGAATCCCGTCTAAACTGAACTTGCTTTGTGAGACAGACCCTGATGATGAGTTCACTGAAGCCACTCTTTACTTTTCTGTATTTTAATCGAGGACACACAGAGCTTTTGATGTGAAGTGTTGCGTTTATGAAGCATTTATTTGACTGCTAAAAGTGCCCCCTTGTGGAGAATGTTCAGCCTGCTAAACTAGTGATGCATACATCCAGTACACTGGACTGGTCTATCAGCACCGATACTATAGCACCTTATAAAATAAAACAAGCGTAAATAGATCAGAGTAAGTGTTTCTTTGTGAGCTTTAAAATTCTATATAAAGGGCTACAGTATGTCAAAATAAAAGCCCCTTCTAACAATGTATGACAGTACATCAGAATAAAAGCCCTGTGCAGGAAGGCCTTTCTGATTCTTTTGTACCTCACAGCAGTTTCATCAGCAAATAACTAATTCAGACTTTTATACTTTCCTAATGTAATGTAAGCTTAAGAATTTAAGTTGTCAGACTTTTGGGTGCTTTTGAGGTAATAAGGTTGTAGTTAAGATGCTTACAGTAATCAGTTCGACTTTGTAGCCCTAAAACAAATTAGAACAATATGGTTCATTATGAAGTTCTAATGTTTTCATGACTGGTTGTCAT